AAACTCTGGATTCTGATAGAGGGCCATGAGACTTAGACCTGAGTGCAAAAATGGAGGCTCTAGCCCCTTCCAGAGCTGAGATATCGAAACTCAAAAATTCGGCCCGAAAAAAAAACGACAGTGGTACCCCTTACGTTTTTTTTTTTGGGCGAAAAATTAAGTTTCTCCAATCTTCCCAAAACTCTGGATTCTGATAGAGGGCCATGAGACTTAGACCTGAGTGCAAAAATGGAGGCTCTAGCCCCTTCCAGAGCTGAGATATCGAAACTCAAAAATTCGGCCCGAAAAAAAAACGACAGTGGTACCCCTTACGTTTTTTTTTTTTGGGCGAAAAATTAAGTTTCTCCAATCTTCCCAAAACTCTGGATTCTGATAGAGGGCCATGAGACTTAGACCTGAGTGCAAAAATGGAGGCTCTAGCCCCTTCCAGAGCTGAGATATCGAAACTCAAAAATTCGGCCCGAAAAAAAAACGACAGTGGTACCCCTTACGTTTTTTTTTTGGGGCGAAAAATTAAGTTTCTCCAATCTTCCCAAAACTCTGGATTCTGATAGAGGGCCATGAGACTTAGACCTGAGTGCAAAAATGGAGGCTCTAGCCCCTTCCAGAGCTGAGATATCGAAACTCAAAAATTCGGCCCGAAAAAAAAACGACAGTGGTACCCCTTACGTTTTTTTTTTGGGCGAAAAATTAAGTTTCTCCAATCTTCCCAAAACTCTGGATTCTGATAGAGGGCCATGAGACTTAGACCTGAGTGCAAAAATGGAGGCTCTAGCCCCTTCCAGAGCTGAGATATCGAAACTCAAAAATTCGGCCCGAAAAAAAAACGACAGTGGTACCCCTTACGTTTTTTTTTTTGGGGCGAAAAATTAAGTTTCTCCAATCTTCCAAAACTCTGGATTCTGATAGAGGGCCATGAGACTTAGACCTGAGTGCAAAAATGGAGGCTCTAGCCCCTTCCAGAGCTGAGATATCGAAACTCAAAAATTCGGCCCGAAAAAAAAAACGACAGTGGTACCCCTTACGTTTTTTTTTTTGGGGCGAAAAATTAAGTTTCTCCAATCTTCCAAAACTCTGGATTCTGATAGAGGGCCATGAGACTTAGACCTGAGTGCAAAAATGGAGGCTCTAGCCCCTTCCAGAGCTGAGATATCGAAACTCAAAAATTCGGCCCGAAAAAAAAACGACAGTGGTACCCCTTACGTTTTTTTTTTTTGGGCGAAAAATTAAGTTTCTCCAATCTTCCCAAAACTCTGGATTCTGATAGAGGGCCATGAGACTTAGACCTGAGTGCAAAAATGGAGGCTCTAGCCCCTTCCAGAGCTGAGATATCGAAACTCAAAAATTCGGCCCGAAAAAAAAACGACAGTGGTACCCCTTACGTTTTTTTTTTGGGCGAAAAATTAAGTTTCTCCAATCTTCCCAAAACTCTGGATTCTGATAGAGGGCCATGAGACTTAGACCTGAGTGCAAAAATGGAGGCTCTAGCCCCTTCCAGAGCTGAGATATCGAAACTCAAAAATTCGGCCCGAAAAAAAAACGACAGTGGTACCCCTTACGTTTTTTTTTTTTGGGCGAAAAATTAAGTTTCTCCAATCTTCCCAAAACTCTGGATTCTGATAGAGGGCCATGAGACTTAGACCTGAGTGCAAAAATGGAGGCTCTAGCCCCTTCCAGAGCTGAGATATCGAAACTCAAAATTCGGCCCGAAAAAAAAAACGACAGTGGTACCCCTTACGTTTTTTTTTTTTGGGCGAAAAATTAAGTTTCTCCAATCTTCCCAAAACTCTGGATTCTGATAGAGGGCCATGAGACTTAGACCTGAGTGCAAAAATGGAGGCTCTAGCCCCTTCCAGAGCTGAGATATCGAAACTCAAAAATTCGGCCCGAAAAAAAAACGACAGTGGTACCCCTTACGTTTTTTTTTTTTGGGCGAAAAATTAAGTTTCTCCAATCTTCCAAAACTCTGGATTCTGATAGAGGGCCATGAGACTTAGACCTGAGTGCAAAAATGGAGGCTCTAGCCCCTTCCAGAGCTGAGATATCGAAACTCAAAAATTCGGCCCGAAAAAAAAACGACAGTGGTACCCCTTACGTTTTTTTTTTTGGGCGAAAAATTAAGTTTCTCCAATCTTCCCAAAACTCTGGATTCTGATAGAGGGCCATGAGACTTAGACCTGAGTGCAAAAATGGAGGCTCTAGCCCCTTCCAGAGCTGAGATATCGAAACTCAAAAATTCGGCCCGAAAAAAAAACGACAGTGGTACCCCTTACGTTTTTTTTTTTGGGGCGAAAAATTAAGTTTCTCCAATCTTCCCAAAACTCTGGATTCTGATAGAGGGCCATGAGACTTAGACCTGAGTGCAAAAATGGAGGCTCTAGCCCCTTCCAGAGCTGAGATATCGAAACTCAAAAATTCGGCCCGAAAAAAAAACGACAGTGGTACCCCTTACGTTTTTTTTTTTTGGGCGAAAAATTAAGTTTCTCCAATCTTCCCAAAACTCTGGATTCTGATAGAGGGCCATGAGACTTAGACCTGAGTGCAAAAATGGAGGCTCTAGCCCCTTCCAGAGCTGAGATATCGAAACTCAAAAATTCGGCCCGAAAAAAAAAACGACAGTGGTACCCCTTACGTTTTTTTTTTTTGGGCGAAAAATTAAGTTTCTCCAATCTTCCCAAAACTCTGGATTCTGATAGAGGGCCATGAGACTTAGACCTGAGTGCAAAAATGGAGGCTCTAGCCCCTTCCAGAGCTGAGATATCGAAACTCAAAAATTCGGCCCGAAAAAAAAAACGACAGTGGTACCCCTTACGTTTTTTTTTTTTGGGCGAAAAATTAAGTTTCTCCAATCTTCCCAAAACTCTGGATTCTGATAGAGGGCCATGAGACTTAGACCTGAGTGCAAAAATGGAGGCTCTAGCCCCTTCCAGAGCTGAGATATCGAAACTCAAAAATTCGGCCCGAAAAAAAAAACGACAGTGGTACCCCTTACGTTTTTTTTTTGGGCGAAAAATTAAGTTTCTCCAATCTTCCCAAAACTCTGGATTCTGATAGAGGGCCATGAGACTTAGACCTGAGTGCAAAAATGGAGGCTCTAGCCCCTTCCAGAGCTGAGATATCGAAACTCAAAAATTCGGCCCGAAAAAAAAACGACAGTGGTACCCCTTACGTTTTTTTTTTTGGGCGAAAAATTAAGTTTCTCCAATCTTCCAAAACTCTGGATTCTGATAGAGGGCCATGAGACTTAGACCTGAGTGCAAAAATGGAGGCTCTAGCCCCTTCCAGAGCTGAGATATCGAAACTCAAAAATTCGGCCCGAAAAAAAAAACGACAGTGGTACCCCTTACGTTTTTTTTTTTTGGGCGAAAAATTAAGTTTCTCCAATCTTCCCAAAACTCTGGATTCTGATAGAGGGCCATGAGACTTAGACCTGAGTGCAAAAATGGAGGCTCTAGCCCCTTCCAGAGCTGAGATATCGAAACTCAAAAATTCGGCCCGAAAAAAAAACGACAGTGGTACCCCTTACGTTTTTTTTTTTGGGCGAAAAATTAAGTTTCTCCAATCTTCCCAAAACTCTGGATTCTGATAGAGGGCCATGAGACTTAGACCTGAGTGCAAAAATGGAGGCTCTAGCCCCTTCCAGAGCTGAGATATCGAAACTCAAAAATTCGGCCCGAAAAAAAAACGACAGTGGTACCCCTTACGTTTTTTTTTTTGGGCGAAAAATTAAGTTTCTCCAATCTTCCCAAAACTCTGGCTTCTGATAGAGGGCCATGAGACTTAGGCTGCGTCCGAAACCGCATACTTCCCTACTATATAAGAGGGAAAAAGCAGTAGGCGAGTGAATAAGTATGTCCGAATCCTTAGTATCCAAAAAGAGTAGGTGAGAATTACCAGAGTGACGTACTAATTATCGCGAGATTCGGGCATACGTATACTTATAGTACGTCCGAATATTCCTACTTTCGTACTATATAGTAGGGGAAAACAGTATTTGAAAGGAGTAGTATGTCCGAAACCTCAGTACTCATAAAAGAGTAAGCGAGAAGTTCCCGGATGATCTCCTGCTTTCGCCAAGATTTTTGAGTGTTCATCCGATGGATACTCTTCTATCCCAGGAGGCCACGGGAAAGCATTCGTCATTATCAACATCGCGGAGATCAGCGAAGCAGGGGAATTTCAAATGTGAGTAAACACGGTTGCTTGTGTTTAAATCGTATGTGTTAAACTACTATAGAGTACACGTTTTAACTGTTGAAGGTCTAAAGGACTTAGACAGTATAGTATAGTTGTGATTTTGCTGTAAACACATGTTTTATTAGTTAGTTAAACAGGGGAGCTCCAGTAAGTAGGCTACATGTAAGTTTCTAAAATGGATTTACATAGCTAACCATATAACGTTACATCTTAAACACGCTTATTTAAAATGTCTATTTACATCTGAAATGAAAATATTGTTTAAGTATTGCAGATGAGCACATCCCAACATGAAAAATACATCTGAGTGATGTAACGTTATGTGTGCTATTATGAAGGATAATTCACTGTTGTCAACACTACTTACATTAGACAAATGTGCTGTAAATACGGTAAATAAACAAATCTATAAAGTAACTAAATATGTTATATTTAATTTGTCCCTTATTAGTGTTGATATATTAAGGAACATTTAAGTTGGATTAAAAGTGAGTTAACACATCAACCTCAGCATGTAAATTCAGTGTTGAGCTCGTAATGTGAATCTTGTCTGTATGTTACAAGGACAGAAGAACACGCGTGTGTTTATCCGGTGGAGAGAGGCTCATGATGCTGAATGCTGTCATCAAAGGCTTTGAGTGAGTATACTACAGAAATGGATAACAAAATCTATTCAATCTTAAATTGTAGTTTATTTGAATTATTGTAAATTCAAGTAGAGAAATTACAACACTTTTCTGATTCTTGATTTCTGTGCATTTGCTGCATAGCTTTTGTGGTGGAGCAGGACCTGCAAGGAAAGATGATGGCAGCATTTGTTTTAGGGATTTTACTCAAATATAAAGTAAGGTTATTTTTAATAGATAAATCAAATGACATTGTGTTAAAATGACTGCTTTTGTATAATGTTTGTGCATTTTTGTAGGATCTGAAATGTCTGCAGACTGGTGTGAGCACTGAGGATGGGGAGCCCAGAGGTGCATCCTGGAAGTGGTGCCATGGATGAGTCCCTCCATCTCTCCACCTGCCCTTATGAGTCCCTCCATCTGTCCACCTGCCTTTACGAGACCCTCGATCTCTCCACCTGCCCTTATTGCCTCAGATTGTGAAGCGCAGCACAACAACAAGCTCTGGGAAGAAGGCACAGTCCCCTCTGGTGAATTCATCAGAATAAAGCTGCAGAATGGGAACCCCTGTGTTGAGTCGGCATGATGTGGTGTTCAGCGGCTGTAAATACATGCTTGTAGTTTGAATAAAGCTTTGTTTCATGTGTTGTTGACTTGTATAATGCATTTGTTTATTGTGATGGTTACTTTTATTTGTTCTTTTACTCATTTATTCATTTTTATTATTGTTGTCAGTATATAACATTTAATTATTTAATTAATGTATCCATTAATTCATCGATTGACTGATAATTGAGATGTTTCCCTGCATTTATGAATATAAATGTATTCATGCATAACTGTCATATGAAAAAACAAATTACATTTTGCTTGTTATATTAAGTTATATTTTTAGTATATAAAAAAGTTATATAATTAAGTATTGGTCAGCATTTAATATTATTATTTTGTTTAAGTTTTGGGGTGGGCTAACAATGCAATTCATTCTGAGGTAATATTAATTTTAAGGAGTGATACTTACATTTTTTTTTAGTATAAAATCAACAGTTTTCTCCAAAAAAGATCTTCGAGCGGCTGCCCGTCTCCTTTGTGCAGACATTGCAAATGCAGAGGAAAACTGTTCTAGGTTGTGCTGTTGAGTTTCTGATGTTATGAAGTGTTAGTACACCTGTCCTCATATTTAAACTTATAAACGTATTACATACAAGATCATGGAAAGTTAAACAACAGTCATAATGACAAAACAGAAAACATAAAGATCATTGGTTTGTGTACATCATAATACAGGAAAAAGGAACAATAACAAGGCTAAATATCTTTAAATAGTTCTTCATAATACATGAAAAATGTTTGTTGTTGTTGTTGTTATAGGTCTGAGGATGAAACGAGGTAAATTCATCAAAAAAGGAGGAAAACTTAAGGAGAAACGTTTTGGGTATAAAAATAAAGAAATTAACAAAACATTCAAGAGGTGACGATTTGGGGGTTTTCTTAATAAAAAAAAAATATCAGCTGTTCTTCAACAATACCACAACAAAATGACGAAAGTTTCATCAATGTCAAGATATTTTTAGATAGAAGAATTAAGTGTCGCTGTTCATTCTTCGCGCTTGTGATATGATGATAACGCCGTAGAGGTCACATGATAACGTCAACATGGCAGATGTCCGGTTCTCAGATATCGAAACTCAAAAATTCGGCCCGAAAAAAAACCGACAGTGGTACGCCTTACGTTTTTTTTTTTGAAAAATTAAGTTTCTCCAATCTTCCCAAAACTCTGGTTTCTGATAGAGGGCCATGAGACTTAGACCTGAGTGCAAAAATGGAGGCTCTAGCCCCTTCCAGAGCTGAGATATCGAAACTCAAAAATTCGGCCCGAAAAAAAAAACGACAGTGGTACCCCTTACGTTTTTTTTTTTTGGGCGAAAAATTAAGTTTCTCCAATCTTCCCAAAACTCTGGATTCTGATAGAGGGCCATGAGACTTAGACCTGAGTGCAAAAATGGAGGCTCTAGCCCCTTCCAGAGCTGAGATATCGAAACTCAAAAATTCGGCCCGAAAAAAAAACGACAGTGGTACCCCTTACGTTTTTTTTTTTGGGCGAAAAATTAAGTTTCTCCAATCTTCCAAAACTCTGGATTCTGATAGAGGGCCATGAGACTTAGACCTGAGTGCAAAAATGGAGGCTCTAGCCCCTTCCAGAGCTGAGATATCGAAACTCAAAAATTCGGCCCGAAAAAAAAACGACAGTGGTACCCCTTACGTTTTTTTTTTTGGGCGAAAAATTAAGTTTCTCCAATCTTCCCAAAACTCTGGATTCTGATAGAGGGCCATGAGACTTAGACCTGAGTGCAAAAATGGAGGCTCTAGCCCCTTCCAGAGCTGAGATATCGAAACTCAAAAATTCGGCCCGAAAAAAAAACGACAGTGGTACCCCTTACGTTTTTTTTTTTGGGCGAAAAATTAAGTTTCTCCAATCTTCCCAAAACTCTGGATTCTGATAGAGGGCCATGAGACTTAGACCTGAGTGCAAAAATGGAGGCTCTAGCCCCTTCCAGAGCTGAGATATCGAAACTCAAAAATTCGGCCCGAAAAAAAAACGACAGTGGTACCCCTTACGTTTTTTTTTTTTGGGCGAAAAATTAAGTTTCTCCAATCTTCCCAAAACTCTGGATTCTGATAGAGGGCCATGAGACTTAGACCTGAGTGCAAAAATGGAGGCTCTAGCCCCTTCCAGAGCTGAGATATCGAAACTCAAAAATTCGGCCCGAAAAAAAAAACGACAGTGGTACCCCTTACGTTTTTTTTTTTGGGCGAAAAATTAAGTTTCTCCAATCTTCCCAAAACTCTGGATTCTGATAGAGGGCCATGAGACTTAGACCTGAGTGCAAAAATGGAGGCTCTAGCCCCTTCCAGAGCTGAGATATCGAAACTCAAAAATTCGGCCCGAAAAAAAAACGACAGTGGTACCCCTTACGTTTTTTTTTTTGGGCGAAAAATTAAGTTTCTCCAATCTTCCCAAAACTCTGGATTCTGATAGAGGGCCATGAGACTTAGACCTGAGTGCAAAAATGGAGGCTCTAGCCCCTTCCAGAGCTGAGATATCGAAACTCAAAAATTCGGCCCGAAAAAAAAACGACAGTGGTACCCCTTACGTTTTTTTTTTTGGGCGAAAAATTAAGTTTCTCCAATCTTCCCAAAACTCTGGATTCTGATAGAGGGCCATGAGACTTAGACCTGAGTGCAAAAATGGAGGCTCTAGCCCCTTCCAGAGCTGAGATATCGAAACTCAAAAATTCGGCCCGAAAAAAAAACGACAGTGGTACCCCTTACGTTTTTTTTTTTTGGGCGAAAAATTAAGTTTCTCCAATCTTCCCAAAACTCTGGATTCTGATAGAGGGCCATGAGACTTAGACCTGAGTGCAAAAATGGAGGCTCTAGCCCCTTCCAGAGCTGAGATATCGAAACTCAAAAATTCGGCCCGAAAAAAAAACGACAGTGGTACCCCTTACGTTTTTTTTTTTGGGCGAAAAATTAAGTTTCTCCAATCTTCCCAAAACTCTGGATTCTGATAGAGGGCCATGAGACTTAGACCTGAGTGCAAAAATGGAGGCTCTAGCCCCTTCCAGAGCTGAGATATCGAAACTCAAAAATTCGGCCCGAAAAAAAAAACGACAGTGGTACCCCTTACGTTTTTTTTTTTTGGGCGAAAAATTAAGTTTCTCCAATCTTCCCAAAACTCTGGATTCTGATAGAGGGCCATGAGACTTAGACCTGAGTGCAAAAATGGAGGCTCTAGCCCCTTCCAGAGCTGAGATATCGAAACTCAAAAATTCGGCCCGAAAAAAAAAACGACAGTGGTACCCCTTACGTTTTTTTTTTTTGGGCGAAAAATTAAGTTTCTCCAATCTTCCCAAAACTCTGGATTCTGATAGAGGGCCATGAGACTTAGACCTGAGTGCAAAAATGGAGGCTCTAGCCCCTTCCAGAGCTGAGATATCGAAACTCAAAAATTCGGCCCGAAAAAAAAAACGACAGTGGTACCCCTTACGTTTTTTTTTTTGGGCGAAAAATTAAGTTTCTCCAATCTTCCCAAAACTCTGGATTCTGATAGAGGGCCATGAGACTTAGACCTGAGTGCAAAAATGGAGGCTCTAGCCCCTTCCAGAGCTGAGATATCGAAACTCAAAAATTCGGCCCGAAAAAAAAAACGACAGTGGTACCCCTTACGTTTTTTTTTTTGGGCGAAAAATTAAGTTTCTCCAATCTTCCCAAAACTCTGGATTCTGATAGAGGGCCATGAGACTTAGACCTGAGTGCAAAAATGGAGGCTCTAGCCCCTTCCAGAGCTGAGATATCGAAACTCAAAAATTCGGCCCGAAAAAAAAACGACAGTGGTACCCCTTACGTTTTTTTTTTGGGCGAAAAATTAAGTTTCTCCAATCTTCCCAAAACTCTGGATTCTGATAGAGGGCCATGAGACTTAGACCTGAGTGCAAAAATGGAGGCTCTAGCCCCTTCCAGAGCTGAGATATCGAAACTCAAAAATTCGGCCCGAAAAAAAAAACGACAGTGGTACCCCTTACGTTTTTTTTTTGGGCGAAAAATTAAGTTTCTCCAATCTTCCCAAAACTCTGGATTCTGATAGAGGGCCATGAGACTTAGACCTGAGTGCAAAAATGGAGGCTCTAGCCCCTTCCAGAGCTGAGATATCGAAACTCAAAAATTCGGCCCGAAAAAAAAAACGACAGTGGTACCCCTTACGTTTTTTTTTTTGGGCGAAAAATTAAGTTTCTCCAATCTTCCCAAAACTCTGGATTCTGATAGAGGGCCATGAGACTTAGACCTGAGTGCAAAAATGGAGGCTCTAGCCCCTTCCAGAGCTGAGATATCGAAACTCAAAAATTCGGCCCGAAAAAAAAACGACAGTGGTACCCCTTACGTTTTTTTTTTTGGGCGAAAAATTAAGTTTCTCCAATCTTCCCAAAACTCTGGATTCTGATAGAGGGCCATGAGACTTAGACCTGAGTGCAAAAATGGAGGCTCTAGCCCCTTCCAGAGCTGAGATATCGAAACTCAAAAATTCGGCCCGAAAAAAAAACGACAGTGGTACCCCTTACGTTTTTTTTTTTTGGGCGAAAAATTAAGTTTCTCCAATCTTCCCAAAACTCTGGATTCTGATAGAGGGCCATGAGACTTAGACCTGAGTGCAAAAATGGAGGCTCTAGCCCCTTCCAGAGCTGAGATATCGAAACTCAAAAATTCGGCCCGAAAAAAAAAACGACAGTGGTACCCCTTACGTTTTTTTTTTGGGCGAAAAATTAAGTTTCTCCAATCTTCCCAAAACTCTGGATTCTGATAGAGGGCCATGAGACTTAGACCTGAGTGCAAAAATGGAGGCTCTAGCCCCTTCCAGAGCTGAGATATCGAAACTCAAAAATTCGGCCCGAAAAAAAAAACGACAGTGGTACCCCTTACGTTTTTTTTTTTGGGCGAAAAATTAAGTTTCTCCAATCTTCCCAAAACTCTGGATTCTGATAGAGGGCCATGAGACTTAGACCTGAGTGCAAAAATGGAGGCTCTAGCCCCTTCCAGAGCTGAGATATCGAAACTCAAAAATTCGGCCCGAAAAAAAAAACGACAGTGGTACCCCTTACGT